GTTAGTTTTAAAAGAGTGCACATTTCATAGTGATGTTCATACACACACCACTTGTTTCCACAATTTAGCCCTTTAATTATTGCACCTTATTAATAAGGCTACTTTCTAGATTCCTTTTCAGTAAAAGTACTAATGCTTTTTTTAACACTAAAGTTTTTACAAGACAACATAATTTTCATTTAACAGTACAGCAATTTTTTTTTTTTTTTTTTTGGTGAACTTACCTATTCTTATTTCCTTGCAGCTTTAGATCTCCTGTGTACTCAACTCACTGGAAAAGCACACAAGGAATACAGATGGAACTACATAAATTTAGATAAAGCGACCTGGTGGTTGTGCATTTCCCCGACACGCTCAAGTAAGTTCCTTTAAGTTTGATCGCAAATACAAAACTCTTACAAATCTAAGCAACGATTTCATATGCTAAAATGTACAAATAAACTTCTCAACTCTTTCACTTTCCCGTTGCAAAGCAAAAAATAGAAAAAAATCCCAATCTTTTTTTTTTYCTGGTCTTCTAAGTACCAGATAAACTGCATAAAATCAGAAAAAGATAGATTGTCTTACAAAGTGCGTATTTCAGATAAGAGTTATAAGAGTATCTGTTCTTTCCAAGTCCTGTCTTCAGAAAAGCTTAAAAACATGAGTCTAACTTTAGAAACCAGAAAAGTCTCATTCACAAAATGTGTAAGAAAAKTTAAACGTACACACAAGTGCTTTAATGAATCTGAATCTATTAGTTGATTTTGGACTACCTACCTCTAGAGTAAACACACCTGCTTTATGGATTATATGCATCTCTTCCTGAAAGATTTGTTGGCATCTGTGTGAGAATTACCATAATTTAATGATGATAATAAAAATTCTGATGTCATGTGTCACTTAAAGTTTTAGGTGCTTTTCTTTTGATATGTATTTTTATTCATTTCAGTATAAATACGCAAGWATTTGGGGAACAGAGTCTCTAGCCATGATGACAAAGATTCGGTAAGGAGAAAGTAGTATGGGCAAAAAATAAATTTCTTCATATACAACTGAAGAAAGCATTGAGAACTTGCATATATATTCCTTCAAATAACAGCTAATGTATATTAACTTTGTTTTGCTGAAGCTGATACCTTTGCAGATAGGAGAAAGGTTTTGTGGTGTCATTTTTTTTATTTTTTTAATATCAAGGGGAAAGGAGCATCTTGCAAAGCAGAGTACTTAATACCTGCGGGATAGCTCATTGTTATATTATTTTCTGCTAGCTATATATAATTTGATAAAAAGCAATCCAATTGCAGACAATGTATATTTTCACTAAGGAATTGTATAAACAAGATTTTTTTTATATTTACAATACATTCTGAAAAACTTTATACAAATTTATTGATTTATATTAAAATTACGTATGGTTCAAGATCATTTTCTACATTTTAATCAGATAAAATGACCTCTTCCTATTTGGATCTAAATAAGGTTTARTATTAGACAACATATAGATCCTTTAAATTTTGCCTAGAATAGAAAAATCTCTTAACCATCTTTCACTCAAATAGAACTGCATCTTGCATTTACAGTCCTCTTACTTTCCCTGAGGAAATTAATATTAATTTTATCATTTTTGCTGTCTTCCCAAGGTATTTTTTATAAAYATTTTAGTAACTTCTGTTTCTCTGGACACTGCACAGTATATGCTAATAGATGTAGTGCATAACAGAATAAGATAAAAACTCTAAAATCTAGCATATTATCTTTTTGAAGACTATTAGTCATAAAATGCAAGTTAGAAATCTCGAACTTTGTATTTGGCAAAGACAGTAAACACTGACATTCAAACACTTTTAAGCATCAGAGTGTATTTATCTTTAACACGGAATTCAATCAAGAATCTGGATCTGGTCTTGAAATGCTGCCTTGTTAGTATAATATTGTGTAGAATCCCAAGTAATATGGCAAAACATATTAATAACACTAATTTCTCTCAAGGGTATATTAGATCTCTCATATTTAAGAGTCAAATATTGAAGGAAAAAAACTCTTGGTTTTAAGATGAGTCTTAAAAAGCACAACACTGGTTTGTTACTACATTAAATTGTTCCCTTGCATTGTGATTTATGAATTTATTGAACAAGTTTTTTTTTCCTGCCAAAAGTACAAGCAATGAAACAATTTTGCTTGGTGGCATCAGAAACAGACTCATCTCTACTTTCAGGGTCTTTCTGGATTCTCATTGAAAACAGTCTGTTCAAAGCAGAAAGAACAGGGTGTAGTGTTTTATATATCACCGAATAAACTCAAAAAAGTTATAAATCGAAGGTACAAATGTTCTTTAATCTTGCACTTTGATAGGAAACAGTGGTCTAGGCAAAAGTACTATAGTCTCGGATGGAAAACCAGAGTACAAGCAGACACTATCAACTGTAACTGTATATTCTGGGGTTTTTGTTAGCACTGAGAAGCTTTTCAGACTCAAATACCTGCAGACAGGAGCCGCTGACATTTAGTAGGCACCTTCTGTATCTAAACCATCACCCTGATTAGTTTTTCCTAGTGACTTCCTTTCTGGTTGTTTTGATAAAGGCATCATATAATTCTCCTGAATTTAGACTGGAACAAAATCTCCACTATGATGTTTTGCAATGGCCAACAGTATCTACCAGATGAATCCTGACAAGCATTAAATCCAACACTCTTATAGGTCTCACTTCCAGTGCTGCCACCTATATAAAAATAATGAAGTACAGATATAAGTCATAATAATGTAAGATTTTACGAAATTTCCTGATCAACATATTTTTTAAGAAAAGGAGCAGCGTAATTATTCCCTAGGAAGGCTGCTCTGAAGCTTGAAGCATGGCAGAGGAGCCTCACAGGTGATTTGCTGCGGCTCTGCGCATGGCCAGCGAGCTTCTCAAGTCAGTTTTTGAGACGGCTGCAACATCTTCAAGAGTGGGGGAAAAAGAGATCCCTTCATGTGGCCTCACTCACAGCTGACTCCAGCTGCTGCCAGCGCATGGCAGAGAACGGGAAACCAAACAAAGCAACAACAACAGCCACAACAACAACRGTCGGTCTGGTACAAGGAGGGCGTCAATATCTGGATACTGCCTAGAGCTGGAACCCATCTTTAAGTGTGTCCCCAGCTAGAACTCTCTGCTACAGCCCTGCCTTCTGCTGTGTACCTGCTTCTTCATCACCTTCAAAAATGTGGGGAAGGGATGAGAAAGTTTATGGACGTTAGAGAAAGTAGGTGCAAGGAATTCACAGAAGAGCAGCTGCTCACAGCAGGCTCGTGTCCTGCCAGGCGACGCGGCAGGCAGGCACTCTGCATAGGGGCCTCCCCGCTCGCCTTGCRCAGCCGTGGCCGGCAGCGGGTATCACCCAAAAGGAAGCGCAAACGGGCAGGCTGCAGAGGAAAAGCTCTTGCTCGCTTTGCATCTTGTGTATCCGTGTACACCTGTGCAAGGCACTACAGAATTAGGCACGTTGCTCTGGGTGGGAATAACTTTACAAATAAGATGACCAGAGTACTTAATGCCTAATAGTTGCTACTTCACAGCAGCTGGAAGCTGCTGGAGCATAATCACATTTTAAAATTGCCTCTGAAAATTCCCATCACTTAAATAATTTCCTTTTCCAGGTAATTTTTTGGGGGGAGCAGGCAAAGTGGGGTTGTTACAGCAAGAAGACTCCAAGAAAAATATACGGGACCTATGCTGTCTATGCCAAGCCAGACATCAGTGCTGGCAACTTCTATGACTAGCAGGTGGCCAAAACTATTACACCAGATCCTTCCATTTTTGTATCTTGGGGAGCAACTCTGTCTTTTGACACAGATGAGCAGACATCCAAGGGCCTGCAGCAACGCAGGTTCTGCTTCATGGCATCTGTCCGATCCTCCCGACTGCTTTGGAGGGGCAGACAACGACCTGTATCTTATGGAGCAAGGGAAGGGAGGAGCTCCGGAGGGCAGCGATGGGGGTGGCCGAGCTGAACGCTCAAGCTTGCCCTTCTGCAGGACCCAAGACAAGGAGGCCTGCTTTGGGAGGCCCGACCCGAGTCAGTGGTGGTCAGGGTGCCAGGCACATGACGGAGCTTCGGAGAGCGCTGCGGCGCCGTGTTCCAGCACGGGAGAGCCAACGCAGCCTGCGCGACGCTGGCAGCAGCGCGAGGGCTCTGCTGGCAGCTCCGGCCTGGCTGGGCACACCGCGAGGCCGGCAGGGTCTCTGTGGAAGCGGGAGCAGCCGGCGGCGCGCAGGCCGGCACGGAGCAGCGCCTGCGCTCCAGGCCCCGCTCAGGCGCTGCCTCCAGCACCCACAAATCAAACGCAGGCGCCCTCACATCCAAACCTGGTTCCGTACACACCTTGCCGACTAAAATTTGTGTAAAAATGCTGACCATCTACCTTCCAYCTACCCAGACTGATGCTAGACCAAATAGTTTCTGCCCTCAGTTTGTTAACGCAAACCTTCTCGCATGCTGTGGTAACTTGTAACTCTGTGGCTGTAGAGAATCCAAATCCAAAGAACAAACTAGTCTGGCAACAAAACCATTGCTCCATGACCATTGCAACTATGTTAACTCCCTTCTACCAGAAAGACTTTACCCTTTTGTGCAGAAATTTATAAAAAATAATCTTACTAGATTAATTTGTAAAGTGCCCTCAGGAAAGGTGCTCATGATGCCACGACATTATAGAAAAAATATACCGTCTAATACATTATTTTCAGAAAAAAACCCTCTCCATARCAAAGAAGTGAAAAGAGAAAAGGAGGAGAACAACAAATAAATGGGGAAATACTCTAAAAATGGTGAAATTAATTATTATAAACTCTTTATAATTAGTCTTGGAGTCATTGCAAAAAAAAAAAAAAAAAAAATTTAAAGGGGGGAAGCCAGCACAAAAATCTTTGAGAAGATTCAGATTTTCTACGTTCCCCCAAGGTAAATACACAAAGAGCAAACAATGTTTTAAGATGAAATGACTACTAATTACTCTGAGGTGTTTTACTACAGAAATCAAAATAATAAAACATGCAAAGAAAACCCCACATTTTACTAAAAGGAAAGGTAATAAAGCAATGGCTACATAAATAGCCAAAGTTTAGCTTCTTTTATAGTTACAAACAAAACCATTTTCTCTTCCCTGTTAACCCCAGATATTTTCTATACACACATACATGTGTATATATATTCCAGGGCCTTACTGGATTTCAGAGTCTATTTTCTTTCTCTTTTTCGCTTTCCCATGACTTAACACAACTGGGCACAAAATCAAGTACCTGGGTGCATGCAAGCACATCCTGCCACTCGGGCATGTAAATGGCACAATTTGTGAACCACCAGACCAGCACGCTCAAATTAGGCGTCTGATTGCCCAATYAAGCTGTTCAAAAAGAAGAAAAATAAAAGATGATATCCTTTGGAAGCTCCTACGATATAGTGTACTGCTTAGCACTTTCAGTTTCATAGCACATGTTCTAATGACTGCTTCATCATTTTGGGCTTGCTTCACAGGCACAAGCAGCAATGCACACTCAGTAAAGCTAAGGGAACTTTGGACCAGATTTTACGAAGCTGTTTAGATAATTAAAGTCTCCTTATTTCTGTGAGGATTAGGCAGCTTACATAATAAAAAAAGAAATACCTAAAATCTGGCCTGATTTCAGATGGYATGAAAAAGAAATCCAGAAATCAGTGGGCCTGCATGCCTCTGAAACTTTGAGGTGGTTTTCTTGGGTGCCTTGTTTTGTTTAACGAACAGGGATTGTTCAGTGGGATAYATTCATATCTTAAGAAATTCTTGTCTTACTTTTCCACTAAAACAACAATTAATGGGAATTCTGTATCAGCTGGAAGAGAATAGTGGCTTCCTGCATCCAGGTACAGATTTTCTATTGGACAAACATACAAAGTATCCAAACCTATCCAAGTACTGCCAGTATAAAAACATATTAATTCAGACACCAAAATGAGCTTAGGAATGTAGTTTTACCATAAATATGTTGCTCCTCTGCTGCTGTACTTCTCTTTTTGGGATCATSTTGTGGAAAGGGGGCACTTTCTTCTCTCTAGTAATTTTTTGTACGTAATAGATGTTAGGAACTTTAATGAAAAAAAAAACCCCACACAACTGAGGAAACCATCAATTTAACAACATTCTCTYGAACRGGAGACAAGGAAACAAGAGCAGAACTGCTGGCTGGACCACATCCCTGAACAAACCTTTCTTATAATCCTAATGGCTGCGTTTACCAGTTCTTTACAGGGCTCCTGCAGCAATAGCAAGAATTCTGCTGGTCCAATTGTTAATCCTTCCTAGAAAAGGGGGCAGTGGTAAGGAAAGCTACTGGACCCCAATKGTATTCTTATGGGTTTCAATCAAGGATCAGTGAATTTCTTCCCTCATCTTCCATTGTGACAACACCTGCTGGTGACTTTCCATGGCCGCTCTTCTTCCTCTAGGGAAYCAAAATCCAATTTGGTACTTAAATGACTTTGTTCCACTCGACCAGTCTGTATCTGGTTTAAAAATATTCCAGGAACATTGTTTGTCCTTCTTGTGAATTCAGACTTTCGTCCTACAAACAAACAAAGAAAAAGGCAACTCCTCCCCACATCCCCCTTCCAAAAATACCGTATGACCATGATCATTCATATTAGGAGAACTGGTTAGCAGGCTCCAGTCTTGGTACAGCTTTTGTTGAGTAAACTGTAGCTTATATGACTTTGAAGTGTTTATTAGAAAGCTTTCAAAAAAAAAAAAAATCTTCGTTTCTTTGTCCAGGAAAAGAAAAATTGTTCAGTTTAGCTAATACAGACGTTCACAACACAGAGACTGAAATGGTTAAAAAGGGGTCTGAAGGAGCAAGTAGTTCAGAGAGTTAGCAAAAAAATTAACTTTTTCCTTTCTTTTACAGAAAAACACTAACAGCTGCTCTGGTTTCAATACTTAGTAAGACAGAATTTTGTTGCATGTTCTTCGTTTTGTTGGTCTTTTTTTAAAATTATTTTTTGCTCTATTGCTCCACACAGGTTTTCATTAGTGCATCTCCTTGGCTACAAGTGCTTCACTTTGAAATGCAAAGCTCTTCCAAAAATAAAAACCCAAAGCAAACAGTGCATCCCGGGCGGGCAAGCGGGAAGCGAYGCAGCAAAAGCTGCTCCTGCCGCAGCCCCAGCTCCTGGGCACGACGCCAGTCTCTAGTCGATGAACCTCTGGCAGGCCTTCTTCCACCGGCAGGCAGTGCACCACATATCTCTGTTCTCCATCCCATAGACCTTCCGACATTTTTTCCCCTCCCCTCTAGGCTTCCTGTCAGAGAGAAAGGGAAGCTTGGTAAGGAAATGCTTGTGGGGCTTCATCACTCTAAGGTCAGGACGGGAAGTAAAAGAGAGTGCAGCATGGAGGGAAGCCCCAGGGCTTTCAAGGGGTTTTTGGTTGCTTTCAAGAAGCTGCTGAAGCGAACGGCCACGTGGCCGTGGTCGCCCAGCTGTGAAGGATCTGTCCTCCTCCTTGCAGGCTCTGCTGCAGCTGCTGGGGCTGCTCCTCTCTTCCGAGGTTCATCCCAATAATGTACAGCTCTTACTGCAGCCAGTGACTCATCCTTACATGGATATAAGCCCCATGAATGTGCAGGCATAATTATCACTGTGGCTGCTCTGCAGCACAGCCTGTATCACGCCAGASAAGATACTCTCTGCTCAGAGCTGTGGTCCACGTTTTACACAGCTCTGAGCAGCATAGCTCTCCCATACAGACTGCCTCAAAGAGCAGCTATACAAAAGAGGGGGAAAGCTGCTTACTCTTAAATTGTGAATCCTTATTGCATGCTTTACTCTGAGCTTTGCTGTGAACAGACTGGGAAAAAAAAAACGAGGTGATAGAAACAAGCTTTAACCCTCGCCCKCAGCAGCAGTGCACTCGTGTGTGTTCCTTCTCTTTTACCTCCAGGCCAGGAAGGCAGGCAGCATTTGCTTTTAAAGCCAGACAACTGCCATGTAGTCCATCATACTACAAATTCTTAAAGTTCATAACAACAGCTTAAAAAATGGTCAAAATAACTGTTTTTTTTTTCATTCAACATGTAGCCAACCAGCAAACATGCTGAGAAGCAGAGCTGCAAGGAGTGACCAGTKCTCCTAAGGGCAGTGCCAACGGTAGCCCTGGCATCTTTAAATCAAGAGTGGAGAAAAAACTGTTTTGTATCTGTACCAAATATTGCACAGCATAAAGAGGGATGGGAATCCCCTGGGGATTACGCTGATGCATACATCACATCTGGGTTCCTGAACACTCATTAATGGCTGCAATCCAGGAACCGGGAAGATGCCAAATTCAGTTTGTAGTATCTGTAATAATACGAGAGACATGAGGAAACTCAGAAGTGTAAARATTTCCTTTTGCAGTTAGGTTGCTTTTAAGGATACAGTCCCTTCAAGGACCATGAGAAATTATGACAAGAAAATGAGYAAGAAAATACTTTTTTAACATAATTCTTTGAACATAGTGTTTTTTTAAAGCAGACTCTGGTCCAAACACTCGTTATCTTTAATATAACTGAATGTAGCCTATATGCAGGAAGACAAGGCAAAAAGCTTTGCTTTTACATGTTTTTTTGTAAGATAYGTTTTCATAATTTAACTGAAGTCACATACCACTCGGATTAATGGTGATAAACACACAAGACATCCTGGCCTCTCAAGGAGAAAACAAAGCCATATAATGAAGTTCAGGATTCTTCAAACTTCAAGAGTTATCTGGATAACACCCATTTACATAAAAATTTAGATCTGCACCTGAACTCCCAATTTTTCTAGCGAGCTCAAGGGGTTTTATTCATAGGCTGCCTTTTGTATTTCTCAGCAACTCAATCTCCCCCAGATCTTTAGCTTTGAGGGTAAATGAAAAGGAAAATCGGTTTCCAATGGCTATTCTGAAGTGCTTTAGTGCGAATCTGCCTGACAACTGGAATCACAGTCAGTGCTGCAGTTCTGCTCCTCTGGCCACTGACATCTTATTTACGAAACAGCCTCTAAGTTCTGCAGCTGCTGGTGCAAGGGGTCCCGTACCTCAAGCCAAACGCTACTCTAGGCGGCGATGAGAGAACTGTGTGGGCCTGTTTCTGCTCTCCACTCCCTGCAGGACGGTTATGAGTTGGTGAGACCTGTTAATACAGACAAAAAAAAGCTGCTGATGAAGGACATACAGGTATGGATCAATATAAACACACTTCCAATTCTTCAGCAGTGCAGTTTCTGCTGGTTATCRTAGGCAAACAGAATATTCTCCAGAAAATGCAATTAATGATGCATGGTGGCAAAGATATCCAGAGAAGGTTATTATACATCAAGCAAACATAATGAAGTTGGGAATCTATTTAGAAATAGATCCTTTCAGCATTAGGTACCTTATCCTTGCTCCTTTTCATTTCTTTGAATATTCAAATATCCAAATAGAGCAAAGCATAATACAGAAAAGCATTATTTCAGTTTGGGGGAAAGACAGAAAATGCATGCACTCATTCTTCCTGAGAACTCTGAATAGTTCCTACTAAACCCTTTTCCAGTTTAAGCAGAGAAAAAAGCTGGAGAAAAGAAACAGCAGCCTGTTCCACAAGATTCGTGCCAACAACTCCCTATGAAACACACGGATTTCACATGTGGCTCTAGTATGTGACTTTGTATTCTTTATAGAGATAGTGGCTTTGGAGAAGGAGGTTGCTACAGGATACTTTAAATGCATCCCTTAGGGACTTAATAAGGGGGCAAGATTGTCCTTCTGATCAAGGCTGCCAATAAAATGTACCAAATAGTTCCCTCTTCTCTGCACTCAAAGCCTCCTCACCCACCTTGTTTTCCCTTCCAYGAATGAGTACTGAGTACTTCCATGAATACTTTGTTCCTCTAAAATTTTCTAAATAAGCTTTCTAGAGCAGTTTGGGGGCAGGCAACATAATCCAAGTGGTATCAAAGCATAAAGCTCAACCTTAAGCAATTCCTGGATTATTTGCTGCAAAGGGCTTGTTTTGCTCCTGGGCGAAGGCCATTACCATTTGCAACTAAAACACAAGAGGAAAATACACTTAGGAACACTATTTTTTTTGACATATAGAGAATGTCATTTTGCTTGCTGACAAATACAGCAAACTTGGGCGCATAGAAGGGCCACTGAGCACTGCGGCCAGGGACTGCAGACRCTGCCACAAGTCCTTGTATAACTGCTACTTTTCACTACTGCCCTTTTGAAGTCTGRTAACATCTTCTTGGAAGAACTGACCTGACTTGAAGACAGTTATTGAATGTGCTTTGAGCTTAACTATCCACTTTATAGGTACTCCACAGCAAATAAATAAATAAATAAATAGATAGATAAATAAATAAAGCATTTTTAACAGCAGGCATGCTTTCAACTTTTACTATCAGCTGGTAACTACAGAAGCTTCTGATTTAGCAGCATGTAAAGCTCCCACTAATAACAATCTACACAAGTTCAGACCATTACTAATACATTTCATGTCTTGAGAGTTGAAACAAATTTCCTCTTTCTTTGCCTTATTCTCATTTCATATATTCACAGACTAGACCAGCTCTCTTTGTCCTGTCACTCCTCAAAAGCAGCCTGTTGTCTGCAACAACTCCCAGATCCTCAGCAATCTTTACTCTTAAGGTCAATGTCCCTCTGATCATCTAAGTTCCCTTACTACTTATTATCTAAGTTAATTACTACTGTAATCAACTACTACTAAGTAGTTAATTACTACTGATTATCTAAGCTCCCTTTTTTTCATGTGTTTTGCACATTTTTTTTAATTGTGCAATGTTTTGCACAATTAAAACACCTGATCTGAAAAGGGCCCCATTTAACAAAAGGAGTACGCAAGGACAGATGATTACCYTGTGTTCTACCAGAAAACAGATCTTCAGTTTTTACTTTGTAGTTTTATTGGCAGATGAGTTATGAAAATGCTTAAAAGCATCAACCSTAATGTGGCAGTGGTGCTGCCCCAGTGAGGAAGATTCTCAGTTAACTGCTGCTTCTCCAGGTCTGACTGCCAGAGCTTCATGGCTTAGTACGTGCTCTGTTGGCACTGCCTACTTTCATTTGAAATACCTGCTGCCTTGCAAAACCTGCATGTTAGACATGTAGCTGCCTCTGCCAACCAAACCTGAAATATATAAAGGCTGGTGGTATAAGGTTTGCTTGACAAATTGTGCTTTACATAAAAGCATGTTGATTGACATGATTTTTCTATCCTTTATTAACTACTTATCTTGTTTTGCTGAATGATAGAATGATAGAAACACAGCAGATAAATGCTTCCTCATTTTATCATTGGCAAAGCAATAACACCTTTCTAGTCTTTGGCATTTAACACACACTACACTGCTTTTGGTAGCTACCAGCAACAGGAGATCTCAGTCAAATCTGCTATGGCTCTTAAACATTTTGACCCCCATCAAATTTTGGATACCTATCCAAAATGAATAACCTACCTGTTATTCAACATATTCCTCAGTTATCATTGCACCACAGTATTATCCTGATCACTTCCAAAGGYAGAAGAGCTGAGTAGTAACTGCTCCCTGTCTGAGACAGTCTCACCTCACGTACTCACAGAATCACAGAATGGTTGAGGTTGGAAGGGACCTCTAGAGATCATCTAGTCCAACCTTCCYRCTCMAGCAGGGACACCCAGAGCACGGGGCACAGGGCGGCATCCAGGCAGGTTTTGAAGACCTCCGGAGAAGGAGACTCCACAACCTTCCTGGGCAGCCTGTGCCAGGGCTCTGTCACCCTCACAGTAACSAAGTTCCTCCTCACACGCAGATGGAACTTCCTGTGTTTCAGCTTATACCCATTTCCCCTTRTCCTGTCACTGGCCACCAATGAGAAGAGCTTRGCCCCTTCCTCCCTACATTCTCCAGGAATACATACTCCTACATACTCCAGGGAGGGYCTTTACATTATGGTTTCTGTGCACTAACTCACCATGAAGGCAATACTGCTCTGAATTTGAGCTTTAGTGTATTTTAATGTCCTTTTCAATGGGTCTAAAAAACACCAGTTTGCTATAGCCCATTGCATCACGTGCGTAAGAGCAGGGCCTTAGAATTCAATCCTTCACCTCGGAGACTTTCACATTTGCAGTGCTGTCTATGCAGAGAATGAATGTGAATGATACATTTGCCAAAATGGAAGACTTACAGGTTTCAGCTATAGYTCCTAAGGGCAACTGTAGTTACAAAGAAGATTTGTGATCTGTAAATATCAAATAATAAAACTCTAAAGATTTTCCTCTCTTCAACCTTCTGGGCTTACATGAACTGCCAGGCAAATATCAATACCACAAAGCAGAGATCAAGTTGGAGTGCAAGATGAGCTCTGTCTTACAATAATGACGGTGCAACTGTATGGTCAGTCAGGATTAAGTGACACAGACTCCACTGCTCTTCACCCCATTAGAATGGCTTGCACCATTTCGCTCAGCTTCCTCATACATGCCTTCCATGAACAGTTGAGGTTGGAAGGGACTTTTGGAGACCATCTAGTCCAGCCTCTTGTTTAGGCAGCCACAACATCAGGTAGCTGTACCCTGTCTTCAGATTGTTTGTTATCAAGTGGCAGCACATCCCTGCCCCATGTGCAGAATCATATGTAGTGTGGATTCTTAGCTGTGCCAATGGTCAGCCTCCTCTTGTACCTAAAAAACTATCCTGCAAGAAGGGAAGGACAGAGCAGAGTAGGTGGGAAATAACGTGTGCGTGGCTCAGAGCACAAACATTAAGGATGCTGAAGGTATCCCTAATGTTCCTACTTGATAGGTAAAGACTTCCAAATAAACACCTCTGGTTACATGCGTGGGGTATCTCTGAGCAGCTGTCTAGGCTAATTGATATGGTTTCTAATCTCATCTAATCTGGGCTGATTGATATTGAATCAGCCTCCGATTGATCCCTGCTTAGGTACTGCATGTTCAGAGCAGTTCAGGGACTTGTTGAGAAGCACATGCCACATTCCCAAAGGTATCCAGACGTTGTCCTGCACAGAGGTGAGGCACCACAGGTGGGTGTCAAAAGCCAAAACCAAAGAAGAATGTTGCAAGCCATCTTGTTCACCCTTGCCCTCCAACATCCCCGTCCTCGGTACAGCCATGCCTCCAATCTCAGGGAATATGTTCAGGAAGAATCCCATGCTCTGTGCTGAGGAGACAGACACCTCAGGGGAGGAGGAGGAAGTGGCCCCCTACCCAGTAGAGCCTCCCTACAGCACAGAAGTTATTGCACTCAGGGTACTGCTGGGAATGACAGTGTCCTCATTTTACCACGCAGTATTTACATTGCTTTGAAACTGGAGAGATGTAACATGCATTTAACATTCAGTGAGTTATTATTTTGCATTTACATCCCTCACTTACTACACTTAATTTTCTATCGAATGCAGGCCTTTGTCATTCTTAAATGGCCTCGCAGATGACAGAATTCGGAAATGTGAGAGAACAGGGAAAAAATGTGAGAACATGGAGAAGCGTGAAAACTTTAAAGGTTTTGATTCTTTTGAGCTAAGCAGACTTATGAATGCTGTTAGACACAGATATAAAAACCGCTCATACGGCTCTCCCAGGTACCTGGGAGAGCTAATTCTGCTGTCATCACTGCTCTCCATATTTTCATATTGGGATTATTTTTAGACTATACTTAAAGCATTGGCATCTTGATATAATTCTTAGAAAGTGATTTAGCATTTCTTCAGTTCTTTTGAGAACTCGCAATTCTGTAGCTACAGATTGATGCTACTGCTTGAACAAGTAAACTCAACACATTTGTGTCTAATTCTGCCCTCTTCAGTTGCTGATTCACAATGCTACTAATTGCACTTTTTAGATTGCCAGCACTATTGGCGCCAATTTCTGCCAGTGCACACAAGGAGCCAGTTTCATAATCGCTCAGTATCAGCCCCATTGCTGTGAAATCCAGCCTTGGAGGAACTCGCCGGCGGGGCGCTCCGCCGGGGCGCTCTTGTTCCAAGTGCTGCCAGCGTGAGGCCTTTCCTGCGAGGTGCTCCCTCATGCCATTTAATAAATATTCATTGGCAGGGCACACTGTAATCGATTCAGCCACTCTCATGTTTTAGCAGCCCTGCCGGACACCTCAGCCTCTGCAGAAAATCTCCAAGATTTGCCAAAGGTTGACAGTAAGAAACTTTGGAGAGTCATTTGGTGAAGAAAAGTGAGGGAAATAGTATCTGTTATCACCATGTCTAATAGTCACCGTCAGGAGGGAAAAAAAGCTATATGGTYCTTTGGGAGAGTGATGTGTCTTATGTACCACACTGTAAAAATCCATGAAGTGTAATTTTAAATGAAAGGCTATGATATCAAGCAGGTTTATAGTCAGAGAACAATCACTGACGTGCTGAAAAATATGTTTTCCTATAAAAAATAGAATATATTCTATGCATATTTATTTCTATTTATTATGCAGAAGATTTTACACTACTGGAAAGTTCTCAATTACATTTATCATTAACATCTATCATACATCTAATCCCTTTGAACATAGAAATTCGTTGATTTCTAATCCTTTGAACTTAGAAAAGTTTTTAACTGCCATTACCATATCCATAGCAATATTGTTTTATTATATTTAAGATTATGGTAAGTCTGCACCTAAGTAAACACTGTATTTCTGGAGTCCTGTTTCTGAAATTAGGCCTTGTACACTAGTTTTTCTGAATAAAATGTGAAGGTTGACATATAACACTTATCGCTAACACTTCATTCAAAAGTTATCAAACTGYAATACGCAATCCTACTAAAAGGCAGGGTGCATTACATGCATATCTGCTGTAGAACAGGACAGAAGGGTCTGCTCTCGATAGAGGCTTTGTGTATGCAGCCTACTGAATGAGAGTTAGCATTTGATCTTACCACTRCTTCCTGTTGCCTTCCAAATGTACTTTGCTCCCAGGGTTCAGAGTTGGATACCAGCACTACCGCCTGATCCCAGTTAGCCTGACAGCATAACCACCCCCTGGCTGAGAGGTTTTCCAGTAACCCTTTAACGGCACAGCAAAAGGCTATGCTGGGTCAGGCTCTGCATCTACCAAAAAATTCTTTTGCAAGCCTACAGCTTTAAAAATACATATAAATATATATAAATATATAAATATATAAATATATACATATGGGTCCAATTCTTCCTTTGCACACACCAATGTTTTTTTTTTTTTTTTAAAAAAAGAAAGATTAAAAAAGAAAGGAAAAGTGACTACAGTGAGCCCAAGAGACCAGCAAAGAAATGTTAAAATCAGTCATGCAGGTAAACTGGGGCAACCAGTTAATCTGGTTTCTTCTGTACCTGTTACATGAACTTTACATCTATCATGAGAGAATTACTGTGAAAAAAAATGAGAGTTCTAAAAACTTTTTATTTTTATTTTTATTTGTCACTGACTTACCGGAATGCCGGTGAAGGTGACTGGAGGCGACTGCCAAGAGATGCTAAAACTACTGCCATTAGGAGTGAATTTTGTTGACCCTGGAATGTTCACCGGAGGAGTGGCCTGTCCAGAAAGAAAATATTATTCCAGTAAAAAGAACTATTCCTCTTCCAAAACATTTCAAAGGATCTTCCACTGCTTGAAACTGTAAATCTACAAGAGACCTTCAGAGGTGAAAAGCTTCCATGCTGGTAGTGACAAGCGCTCTGCCCTACTCATGAGCAGGATAATCTTGGATGAGGCAGTCACGAAAGACCATCTTTATATCTTGTTTAGAGGCAAACCACAAATCTCCTGAGAATCCACACAAAACCTTTTATTTTATAAGTAAAATTTTAAAATAACCCAATTAAAATAGCCTTCTCTAATAAAAATACAGTAGTAGCTCTTAAAAGACCAAGGTAAATCAAAAATTYGAAAACCGCCTTACTCCTTTCTTACTTCAAGTCTTATATTTGCCATTTCCCAACCACAGTGGAAATTCAAATTACCAAATTTGTGCAGGATTTTTATGACCCAGCCTTGGCTTCCACATAGTTTTTTTCTATTTTAGTGGCAATTCTGGGATGGCCACTACACGGCCAATCTGCAATGTAGGGAGGCGCTTCCCAGGAGCCGGGAGTTGGTGCCTTGTTCTCTGAGAGGCGGAGCACAAGGACCTCYCCTTAGCAAAGGTGCTAAGCTCCAGCCAGGCCCTCTGCAGTCCCAGGAGCTTAAAACAAGCCCATGAACTCTTTGTCTCCATAAAAAGTCTAAACATTTGTGTTGCACACCTGAAATAAGGTACATCATGCTGTATATGCCAGTTATTGTGTCTGAGAAAAGACAGTTCRTTTCCCTGGTGCATGAGCAGGTCACAGACCACACTACTTCAAAGCCTCTGTTCTTCTTTTCTCATCTGGTATCCAGACCAAAATATGTCAGATTTTACTGCRCTTTTACAATTAATGCTTTGTGTCTGAACTTAGTTTGGAAATGTTTGGAACAGCACCTTGGATCTGATTGGCCTTTTGCCATTTGCGAAGAATTACCTCCAAGAGCAGGAGGAGACCTTGTTTGCTTTTCCATTTTTCCTGCTCTACTTCACATGTGCAAACCGACATCTTACTCTGTACAAGTAATGGAAAATAATGGTTCCTGGCATCCCTTGGGAATTTTCCTACAGAAGAATCCAGTACAAGTGGGTCTGAAACTAAAGCTCTGGAAGGGATTCAGCTGCCTGGATGTGGCTGTTTACAGCACAGAGGACTGCATCTGGGCTTGTCTTTCCTCGCAGTCAGTAGAGAATTACCTGATGTAGTCAGTGGAATATACTGCAGGTTTAGTCAGTGGAATRTAGCACAGGGCAATGCTCTCAACCTGAAGTAAGCTCCAGTGTGTGGTTGGAAAAAGAGTACCCCTAAGTCCACTGGTTGAAGTCCCAAGTCCACTGCTTAAGGACCACTAAGTCTGGAAGGGTACATCTCAATTTAAGTGACATGAACCCTTGGGCTGTCCCACAAATCCTGTTAACCCACTGAAAATGGACTTTGATTTTTAAGATAAGGGCATAATCCTTAGGTACTTGCTAATATATTAATGATGTCAGCATGAGCAATGCAGTCCCCTTCACCAGCATTACCTGGTAAGCGTGGTCCGTGTGTACGAGGTAGAGGTTGGTAGGAGCTGAGCGGCTCAGAGGTGTCATCAATTTAGTCTCCGTTTTGGCACAGGGTGTTTCGGGACGGATTGCATCTTGGGTGGGAAAGGAAGGAGGAGATGCTAAAGATGAAGAGACTGGAGAAAGACTGCTTAAGCCATCAGCTACCGAGTCCGTGTTGAGCCTGATTTCTGTATAGTAAAAATCCTCCTCTCCATCGCTGTAGTCAGACTCCCCTACACGTCTGTTTCAAGACAAACAAGGAGGGACTGATGAAATGAGAGCAAGAACCCTGRAGTGAATTTTAACATGAGCAAACTTATTCATACTGGCAATAAATGAATATTCCCAGTTTCAACCCTACCTGCTTTATCAACATGCTGACTGCAGGGAAGGGGAGAAGAAAGGAAAATCACCTAGTCTTTGGACAAAAAAAGTAGGAATCAGATTTTTTTTTTCTCCATGTCATTCTTGACTTGTTCTTTGACCTGGGACTAGATATTTAACTTCTGTGCTTGAGCTGGAATTTCCTCAGGTAGTTGCTTCTCACTCCTAACTATTGAAGCTGGCAAGAATCTCAAAGTACTTTGACCTTAGAAATGACAGAGCAGCCACAGGAATACTGGTAAAGACAGCAAACATGGGCAAGATATAATTCAGTAATATAACAGCAAATAATATGTAATCTTATCATAGGTTACTAACCAAATATAGTCACGGCTATGGTTCACTGTAACTCTACTTAGCACAAATAAAAAACTTTGCTAGACAGTCTCAGCACACAAGCCATTGGGACACAGGGAAGGGACACATCAGGCCTACCAGAATGTGGTTCCCAGCAGGCTACACATCACCTGGAAGTCCCAGACAACACACTCCTCCGGCACATTCCCAACCCACATGACTTACAAATATAACTATATGGCTCAAATGCACACATTTCTGCCCTGCATCTTGCACTTGCGAAATATGGGAGCCCTGCCAGGTCCTCCTGCTCCCATGTAACTAGCAAGGTACAACATTGCCACACGACATCTCTGCTTTTCCTGGCATTCAGCCCTAGTGGTTTTCACAGCCTGCTTGCCCATACACATCTTTATCTGTGGTCCTCTAGCCACCAACTATTCAATGAAACTCACAGAGAGAGCATGCCTTGGCTTCAGCAGCTCTGAATGGCTCTGCTAAAACTGCTCTGCTGGATTCAACCAAGTCCTTCAGCAAAACATCTCTCTCCAGCAAAGTTACAAATTCCAATCTCTAGTAAAATTTGGCCATTCACTCTTCTCCCTCTTTGCCCAAGCCATAAAAAGGACAAAGAGCAAAATTTATAACTGCACTGTAGGAGCTATTTTCTCTATTTCTCAAAGCCTCATTCTTCAGAGCCTAAGTCCAGGCTCAGTTACTACCATCTTTGCAAGACTTTCTTGGGCTCCATACCAGAATTGTTTCTTCCTCCCAGTGACTTCAATTTTTAAACTCTGGATAACAGAGACTTACAGAACAGAGACACATTTCTCTTTTCAGTGGTGGCCAGCGATAAGACTAGAGGAAACAGTCACAAATTGAAGCATCAAAAGTTCCACAGGAACTTAAGGAAAAATTTCTTAAYAGTGAGGGTGACAGAGCCCTGGAACAGGCTGCCCAGGGAGGYTGTGGAGTCTCCTTCTCTGGAGATCTTCAAAACCCACTTGGACACAGCCCTGTGCCACGTGCTCTAGKTGACCCTGTGTGTGCAGGGGGTTGGACTAGATGACCTCTGAGGTCCTKTCCAACCTTGGGCATTCTATGATTCTCTGATTCTATGATTTCCACGTGTCTAACAGGCGAAGGCAGCAGAGAGGAGGAAGTGAGAAAAAAAACTTGAAGAATACAGAGGCATGGAAGCCAACACCTGGGCATCCCTCCTTTCTCCATTTCCCTGATATCTGGACTCTCAGGCTGCTCTCTCAAGGGCAGCATGAGGCAGCATGAATCCCTGTTGTAAGCWTGGATTAGAGAGCTACTTCACTCACTGAATGTCCCAGAAGATTTTAGTTACAAACTAGAGCTCTGGAAAAAACAAAAMCAAAAAAACTTGTATCATGTAAGACTGACTAAATCTTGCTTCTACCCCAACTAACACACACATGGAAATGGCAGCTGTGTCATTTTCTGGTTCTTTTCTTTTTTTGAGTACTCAGAATCCAGCCCAAAGTGAAACAGAGCTGGAAAGCCTTCACACAGGCCTTAACACCTGCCACATCTCACAGCGCCTCAGYGTGGAGGTGACTCGCAGGCAGCTCCCCCTCAGCAAAAGTGCTCAGCTGCCCCTCACTGCTGGGCTGCRATGCCCTGAGGGGAGCACAGTATTCGAGCTCCTAGTAAGCTCCAAAGAAGTTCACCAGGGAATATAAAGTGTTCTCCTCTTGGGATGGGTTCCCGTTCACCTCAGTGCACTGTCCTGCCATTTCATCAGAYGGAAAGGACCAAGACAGCTCCTGTCCCTGGCAAAGGAGGCCTGTTTCCAGTCTCCACCAGATCCTGTAAGCTCCTGCTGGCAGTACTCTCTTACCCAAGGTGAATGGTCCGTATGTGTTTCTGAATCCCTGCAGCYGTGCTCAGCACCTTTCCACAGTTCTTCCACAGGCATTTGAACATCACCTTCATGGAGTTCTGAAAGTTGCAAGCAAAACAACATAGTCTTCTTAGTTGCACAGAGGAAGGAAAACACACCAAAACAAAACAGATGTACAGCTACGAAGCAYTTTGTTTTATCTGCACTTGAAATCAGCCCAAGTCCAGAGTCTGTAAATCTGAGTATATAATCAGGCAGTGTATCTGTTACAGTATAATCCTTCTGAATTCAACAGGAGCAGCCTGTGCCAAGAACTGATCTCCCTCTAATCTTTCTCCATGTCTTTTCACTGTGCAAGTATCAGTTTCTATCTTCCCACAAAAGGATCTATACAAGATAGACAAGTTTGATACGTTTGGAGTTTTATTCTCAAATAATGGCTGATTGGGGCTTCCCACTTAACACAGGGTTTCCTCCTAAAGCCAACAGTATGCTCCAAAGGCTAGTTTTGCTCATGAATTCCCAACACAAAAAAACAGTGTCATAAACCTGTAGCTTCTGCTATGACAAAAGATAATATCCACCCAAAGAGCAGGCAAATCTACTTTTGTTACATTCAGAAGTTCCCATGCCCCTCAATTAGACAGAACAATTTCATCTGGAAAATTTTTGGACATTTTTAAAGAATGTGTGTATATTCTCAGTATAATATTATTTTGCACATGTAAGTTATCATGAGTTATCATTGATTCAAAGCACAGAAAACAAGGCCGTAACCAGTTCCACCTTCTGTATTCTGAAAGAGCCTGGAGAAAACTGACCAATAATCTGATTTAAAGCAGAGTATCTGATAGCAAACAGCATGGATTTTAAAGAACTGTATATATATTTTTAAAGGTAACACAYTTAATTTGAAAATCAAAMCTAACTATTTAACTCTTGYTATTCAAATYTAAATTTTGTYCTTCTTTGTYTCTGCTAGTACAGAACACACAATAGCACAGAAAACATGAGGAACAGCTTCAAAATACTATCCCACAATTTTAATTAAGGAAAAGATTAAATGAATACACAATGTTCAGCCTATATGAGAATTGAACTTTATGCTTATTGATTTTGGACCTTATAGAATCCCATGCTAACGTAAGCCAAGTCTGAGCACTTGCCTCAGAAACAACAGTTAGAATACAATTAAACCATTGCAATTGATCCCAATTCTTCAAACACGAGTTGACTGCAGGAGCATGTGCAAACAGCCACCTGGCAGTCTAACAACTCCTGTCTGAAAAATATATGCTAAGTAAGTGCTTCATTACTTGAGATACTTGATCATCAGTCAGGAYTGATTCTAGAAAAATCTTCCACCTTAGCATAAATTGGCCACAAATTTCCCTCAAAAGTGCTTGACCTGAAATTCCAGTATGACTCAGGAATCCTAAATGTATCTTTATGGAGCCAGAATGTTTAGTATCCAGAGCAAATTGGTTTTTTGTCAAAACAGGTATCTCTTTTGTCTCTTTTGTCTCATTTAGTTCTATTATCAATGCCGGGAGTTCTGAAAAAAGCCTACCATCCTTCCAAACCAACCAAATGAAAGCTCACAGAGTAGAAAGAGAGACGAGGTACAAGGTCGTACTCAGATACAGTATCTGGCTTTGATACTGTATGGCAAGTAATAATCCACCTAAACTAAACACTCGCCATACAAAGCAAAATCCATGAGAACCAGAACAGGCACTGTAATATATCTGTAGAGGCTTTGTAAGTAGAAATATTTAAAGCCAACTTACATAACAATAAAGATGGCAGCTGTAAAACCATCTGTCTAATCACAGCTGAACAGTAAGAACGATGACAACAACTGTAACTTTAAATGAGAAGTAAAAGGCAAATCACTTGTGTGTTCCTGCCCTTTCCATCCTGCACTCCCACCCAACCCTCTCTGCCTCTGTTCAACACTCAGCTCTAACTTTTCCTTTCTTGTAACAAATCCGTCCTCCAAAATACATTTTTTTTTTTAATTTTTAGCATCAGGCAAAGGCATTTTACCTCCCTTTCACACAAACAAGGGCAGAGCTCTGTGGGTCAGCAAATGAGCAACTTCTGGCGCAACATGATAAATCTGAACAGGTTGAAACAATCAATAAAACTTCCTCCTGCTGGTGGTGAAAAAATTAACTCTCTCAGTCTGAGCCAGAAAGCAAGTCATTAAGGAGGAATAAATTCTGTTTGTCTCCTCCCTGCAGAAAGCTCTTTCTCATCTTGCTATGTAAAATCTGTCCCGTTGTGTTGGAAGGGAGGAAAACTTGGACCAGTGCCATCTCTTTGTTTTCTTTTTCTTCGGGAGGAGCCAGCTTGCCAGCAGAATGGTGCTTTTTTGGGTTCCCTTTTGGACTTTTTTTACACTGTGTTTTATGTATTCCACTTGGGGCTCCTACGAAGGATAAATTTGGCCACTGTTACTAGTGTATCAGAAGCCATCAGGTTTGATCTCTCTCTCTCCCCCTTTTTCTCCCCATATGTTTGTGCGGAGAACGCTTCCCAGTACCAAGGTATGTGACATGCTGTCAGACTGGCAGCACTCTAGGGAACAAGAAGTAATAAGGCCACAGCCAGCCTCAGTGATGACATGCCAAGGCTGCCTGTTGCATCCTGCACGCAAAGAATTTGCCCAAGGAGGACAGATCCCCCTTGAATGGCCAGAGGCGACACCTTCTGGAAAAGGCTTCCCTGCTTTCTGAGCAGGAGGCTCTGCAGAACCTCACCATCTGCCAGCAAATATGTGCTGCTGATGGCAGCATGTGCAGTAGGCGACTGGGTTCAGCGAGACAGTGACTGGGCTGAGGACCTGCATCAGCTGGATGCCAAGGAGGGACCTGCCCGAAGAGCTGCCTGAGCTACTTACTCCTGTTTCACAGCAGAGCAAGTCTAACAACACCCACCTTGCCCACTTACACAGAACTTAACAGGAGGCTAACCTTTCTCTTCCTAGGAATGGGTTCATCAAAGAGAAGGTTGCTTGTTTCGGCTTCATCGATGCCGTCGTCGGGCTGGGAAGGTGTTCGGAAAGCTCTGAAGCTATCAGCTGACAGAGGCGGAGATGGGGTAGATGGGTTGGACTGATCACTGGGAGCGTTCCAGCTCCAGTATCCACTACTGCTGGTGCTAGAAGGCACAAATCCTCCTTCTTTCCAAGATCCATTTAGGGATTCTGTGAGGAATAACAACAGCAGGCGTTAAAGCAAATTACCTTACACCACGTGGCAGGGCAATGGAGTTCTTTTATCCGAGGCTTAGATGCTGTGCTAGTAATTGACTCTACTTCAGCAAGGAAAAGTGAAAACACAGGATGCATGGAGGGTGAGCACATCTGTCGCACTGCATTCAAATGCCATTTACTAATTCCCAGGTTCCACATCTGAATTACAAATGTTTAAAAAAAAMAACAAGTTTTTTTCTAAAAACAAATGCTGTATCTGGAAAAACAACTTCTTCCAGAGCACAGACCATGATAAGCACTCGGATGTTACAGGCATGCTTAGGGAGAAAACTTTCCAACACATTTTTAACCTTAAACATGGACACAGGTCTGCAGTGGGGGATAAGTGCAAGCTTCAAGTCACTGCGCAGTCAGTAGGAGGTCCCTTGAAAAGCGGATGTGTATTCTGAGTATGAGGGCACTAACTATAAAAATCTAATCATCAGCCAAGTGCTACAACACCAAAGAAAACCGCAGTCACACGCCAAACACCTCCTCACCGGCTCTTAGTTCATATGGCTTTGTCTAATTTGAATCTCTTTCTAATTCAGGTGGTGCCTGTCCTTAGCCTGACATCACTTTTTCTTCAGAAAGGTGCACCATCAGGCAGCTGGCTCCAGAACTCATAGCCATTTACCACAGCCTCGTGTTTYCCTGCATGAATTAGAGCCTTGCCTTAGCACTTTACAGTAAATACTACCACACCAGCTGGGCATGTATGTGAACCCCCTCTCTCTCAGGGGAACAGGCAGGTGCCTCTTCAGGCCCCGAATCGCCTCCAGARCTGCTCACCAGGAGGCCTCTCCTCCTCCCTGCAGCAGTTGCCCTGACAGGACATTTGAAGCAGATCCACTAACTAGTAGCTCATTATATGATCAGGTGAGCGGGAGCAAGAGTGCTGGTTACAGAACCACAGCTAGAGCTTCACCTTGGATACCACAAAGCTTCAGGTTTGTGGTTTGACAYGGCATGTCCTGAGGTCCTCAGGTGGTGGGCACCAGAATGCCGCTCTTGCCAGTGACTAAAGGGATTGAGGTGCTCCCACGGCTTGGGCATGCACATGGGGATGGTGTGGGTAGGTTTCTCCAGAACTCAGGCCCCCAATGTTGTTCTAACTGACACTGTAAATGTTTAATGGTTTGTGCAATACCTGGCCTTGTAGTTGGCAAGGATTTATTTTGTTATTGTATTTATTTTGTTAGTGAAAAGTTATTTAAGTGCAAGACAAGAGTCTTTGCAAGTCATTGCCTGCATTTAAGGGTTCTACAGAAGTCCCTCCTTCATTCCTTCTCAGAGCCTTGCAAACAAGCTTGTTCAGTAACACCCGCAAGAAAGTGATTTCCGCCATCTGCTACCAAAAGCCCAACCCACAACCAATGCAATGAGTAACTTTTTATCCCCCATTTGGTTGGTTTTGGACAAAGCTCTTCAGCATAATCATTCCCTTCTCCCAGAACAGAACTCCGTGCAAACTCCTGGAACTGACCAACAACATCCACCAAAATTCCTAACTGAGAAACAACCTTTAAGTTTCTTAGAGCTAATAAATTAATATATGAAAATGTGATGTTTTGGTTCCTGACCGCAGCCCTGCAGAGTTTCACACAGCTGTAATTGAGGCGGTTTCTGGTTTTCAAGCATTTGTACTTGAGTCTCATGCCAAAGTTAGGAAGCACATCTGGCATCAACTTGTGGACTTAGCGCAGTTTAAAATTCCTGTTTGTTCAGARAAACAAAGGAATCAGTACTCTTTAAAACTGTTTTTGACAAATTTATGGTGGTATTTGTATTCTTCAAGTTTACAGCTTCTCTTCACCTTGCTGAGAAAGAGATTTAAATCAATTTAAAGTAATATAAAAAAGGYAGGACAAAGCTGACAACAGGAAGAAAACAAACACTGGTTTTCATTAACAAATCTGGCAGTGTAAAGGAGCTTAAAATACAAATAAATGTAACTTACTCTTATTCTGGGCTCTTTTCACGTTGCTGGAGTTGCGTGAGAGAGAACCAGACCAAACACTACAGAGCTGCAGGGAAAACAGGGCCAAATTCTGAACCAGTCTGCATGGGAAATCAAATCCAGTAATGCCGGCCAAGTTCGGAATCTGACTTTCACAGCACCATAAGTGGCTTTAACATTAATTTTTTATTGCTAGGCCAACTTCCGTATTGCCTTTAAATATTTGTTCCCTTACTTACAGTGCTCCAACTGCCTTTTTTTTTTTTTTTTTGGAAAAGGATATAGAGTTCTACAAAAAATTCTACGTCACCGAACTTGTATCTTGGATAACCGTGAAAAACCTAGCTCGGTGAAACCAACTGAGTTCTAAATAACCAGATGTCACTCTTTAAGAAAGTCTTTAATAAGATCTAACTAAGGCAAAACTAGGATATTCACAAAGCTGTCCTTGGGCATATTTTCCAATATTTTGTGTGAGACTACTGCAAATATGTGAATTCCTTTTTCAGATTCAGGATATATGCAAGCCATCTAGGTGAAGCAGCTCTCCAACTGCATGAAGAAATATCAAACACCTATAAGCAATTGGAAAGGGCTTCTCTGGGAGATCCTCCCAACCAACAGCTCCAGCTAACGTGCACTGAGGTTCCTGACAACTCTTGTCTAYAAACACTTTAAGGTGACTGATGGCGCCTTGTCCCACAGCAGTTACCTGCAGGCCCTGCTGGGAAAGCAAAGTGAGAGCAGCTGAGTGCCCATTTGTCTTCTTTCTTTCACTGACCTTCCCAGGGCCCCGATAACCTCCAGTCCTGAGGCAGAACAAGTCATTGGGAGGATCTCTCATCAGGGATTGCCCAGRGCTTTTCTGTGAGGCACAAGTGATATCCTGCAGGTTTTTCTAGCTTATAATATTTGGTTTTTCAAAAATCTCTGTTTTTCAAAAATCTCTGAAGCTGGGGCATGACTCATAGTACAGATTCTTTTCTAATTCACACATCAGCCAAAGGATCATCCCAACTGCATTAAAAATTGCAAGGTCTACTTCCCTATTAATTCGTGATCAGTAAACAACCTTGCAGTGCTCCTATTATTTACTGTTGCAAAGCACTTATGATCTATTTAGCAGCAGCAAAYGAGAAAGAAAAGCCAGTTATGTGAACAGCCCCGAGACATACGACTTTCAATTATTCCTTAAAATGTAACAATTTTAAGATGTCTTTTTACTGCAGCCAAGCTTACACAAACTAATTACATTTTCTCAACAGCTTCATTAGTACGACTCATTTTAGACTCGTTTCTATACTAAGTTCCCTGCCGGCCGCCCATCAGGGCAGTGCCCAGAGGAAGCCCCCAGGGCCGCTTGGCGCTTGCTCCTGTGCGGAGGGGCGGCCGCTGCCGCGGGCCGCAGCGCGTGGCCRCCCGGCCTAGGGCTCTCCCTGGGCTCTCTCTGACCTCCTCTCCAYGGCGTGGGGACGAGCACTGCTGCTGAACTTGCTACAGACATGCAAAGGCACATGCGCTGGAAAGGGAGCGTTGCGGTGGCATCAGRGGATCCTCTAGAGAGCCAATTCCCCATTCCCATACTTCATCCCCGAGAGGAGCACCCACCACTTCATAATCCGGAGCAGCTCTGCAGTCTCTGAAGAGCTTTGCTCTCATTTCTGCCAACAGTGCCACAAAGAACGCTACTGGGGCAGGCCAGATCTCAGCACCACCACAGCAGGTAGGAGCCACTGCCGGAGGACAACTGCTCACAGCTGCACTGCCACTGCCAATGCTCCTAGTCACCGAGGCCAACAGGTCACCATGATTTTCTTTTCCATTCGAATTTCTACCAGTCCTGGAGTCTGCAGAGCTAAAGACTTTAGATTCTTCCTCTTTATCTCATGTCCTCTGTTCCAAAGTCTTCAGTTTCCTAGTATAACCCAATCCCGTTCCCTTCCACAGCCCCTGCCCATGCATTCCTCTCTTACCATTGGGTCGGACAGGAGGGCTGCGAACCAAAGGGCTGGTGGATAAACTGGTTAGTACCATGGCTGCTGTTACTTTATCCATGTCCAGTTCTTCTGAAGATTTTCTGAAACACAGTGAATGGGAGGCAGGAGGCACATTAGCAATTTTTAATTTTTATTTACCGCTTTTCACAACAGACTAAACCCTAAGATGGCAGTAACCAAAGTTCGCTAGCGGTGTCCTGAACTACTTGGCCTTCAGCCAGCCTGAGTGTATTGTGAATTGTAAGGAAATCAGCTCAGTGTAGATGGGAAAAACACCAGAAAAAGAGAACAGGTCTTCACATAAAGTTGTCAGGATTCCTGTGACCCTCTATTACCTTCACACACCTCCTCATCTTGGAATTTTAGCTATTCATGTGCTTAAAGCTAAGTGGGTGTTTGAGGGTTTCTTTCTGGATGAAGACACAGAGATGTAGAACTAGGTGAGATGACTAGGAACAATCTTAACAGACACTATTCTCTGACACTTCCTCTCTGAGGAAGAACAAGGAGCTAGAACTCAGGGATCATATTTTATTTGTTGCTTCTGCTTAATATTATTAATCTCCCTGTACTCTCTCTGAAAGACTACTGTGTGTTCCCTAATCAGATTATAGATCAATTATTTGAAGTCCACACACAGAAAAATCACGTTTACTTCATCTTCAGTGGACATTCATTTTAAACATTTATCTTGATGCTACAACCAGCCACAATCAAGGGGCAAGATGTCACGAGACGACCTGAGCCAACAAGGTGCTGCTGCTGTGCAGGGTGGGCTCTGACCTCCTTTCACCCAGCCCCGGGCACCTCTCCCCTTGCGATCCTTGGGCTAAGTCAGGCATTATTCACACACTCTGTGGCAAATTCAGCTTATTAAATTGGCAGTAAACTACTGTAGCGTTAAGAAAGAACAAGTTTTTGATGGTTTAATGGGCCGAATCAGCTCATTAAAGGTTCAATATTGAGCGTCTGAGCTGTGAGAAAAGCAAATGCAGGGAGCGGGCAGAAGGAAGAGAGCAAAAGGCTACGTTAGTTCACTCATCTTTGTGAATCAACCCTAAGTCACTGCTTTGATGCTCRCAGTTAAACTCAACAGGTTCTGGGCAAATCAGGAGGCAGGCAGAGGCCAGGGATCATTTCAGTGCGCTGCACTGAAGTCAAGAGACGCGTGCACAGCCAGGAGTAGTCACAGACACTGGCCTCTCCATAAGAGCCTCTGGAGCACCACAGCTCATGGCATCTCTTCCCTGAGGAAAAGGAGGAAGGGATAATGAGGAACAGGAAGGCAGGGAAATTTTTCTGAGAAGGAGGTGAGGATGTGGAGAGAAAGGYTGTCTCAGGAAAACAGGTTTCCGTGATCCACTGGTCAAGGAGTTACCTTCTTTTTCCTGACAATGAAGAATTTCGGGGGTCTGTAAAAACATTTCTCTATATAACATCTGGGAAAAGGAAGTGATGCAGCTCTCCCCCTGGCAGATTCACAGTAAAAGGTACAGCTTCTGATAAGTGAATGTGTATCAAAGAAACATCTAAACCCATCAAGTCTAGCAGACTTTTCCCTTCCATCCTTTYAGGAATGTGGAATCAAGACAGAGAGCTTCCCTTAAGCATTTGTTCACCTGACTACACAAGGCTGTCTTCTTTATTAGGGACCAAGTTATATCTGTTCTTACAAAAGGGCCATTTTTGTTATTGTGCATCTGTGTATATTTTTTTTTATTATTGTGCAGTGCTTCTAGACTTTCATTTGTTCCTTCTTAGGAACCTGATTTAAGTGACTAAGTAGAGGTCTTCATTATATCTCAAAATGAGAACAGCTACCTCATGTTTCTCCTAAATAAAACGTTCTCTAAGTCATCAAGAYGAGCCAGCTAGGCTGGTTGCGGTGCCTTTCCAGAGGCTCCCTTGTTGTTCTCAGCTGTTTCAAACCAGGGTGTGCTGGGCTAGTACATAATCACAGAATCATAGGATCAGAGAATCACAGAATGCTTAAGGTTGGAGGGGATCTCAGAGGTCATCTAGTCCAACCCCCTGCACACGCAGGGTCACCYAGAGCACGTGGCACAGGGCTGCATCCAAGCGGGTTTCAAAGATCTCCARAGAAGGAGACTCCACAACCTCTCTGGGCAGCCTGTGCCAGGGCTCTGGCACCCTCACTGTCAAGAAATTTTYCCTTAAGTTCCTGTGGAACTTTTGGTGCCTCAGCTTGTGGCCATTTCCTCTAGTCCTATCGCTGGCCACCACTGAAAAGATGCCGGCCCCCTCCTCCTCACTGCCTCCCTTGAGGTATTTATACACGCTGATCAGGTCCCCCCTCAGCCTCCTCTTCTCCAGGCTGAACAGACCCAGCGCCCTCAGCCTTTGCTCACAGGGCAGATGTTCCAGGCCYCTGATCATCCTGGTAGCCCTGTGCTGGACCCTCTCCAGCAGCTCCACATCCCTGCTGCACTGGGGAGCCCAGAACTGGACACAGTGCTCCAGATGTGGCCTCACCAGAGCTGTGTAATAATGCTCACAAGCTGCCCAAAACTTCTGAGGTGTCAAGTTTACCCGCTGACCCGTGAGCTCTTCCAARCCGAGGGAATGTCTCAGTTACCCAGAACTCTGCTATAGTCAAAAGTTTTGTCATCTTTCAGAACAAACAACAAACTCTCTGGTGAAACACAGCCTACCTACTTCATGCTTGATGCCTCACACAGATGCCTACCAAGACTTCCCTGTGCTGTACAAASACTTAGTTCTTGGGACCACCTTTACATTATTTTTTTTAATGTAATACAGCAGCTGTATGCTCATGACTGAGTACTTGAAAAGGTTTTGGATATCTGCTGTAGCCTGCTGATACCTGGAGCCCCCACCCATTAGTTCCTCTCATCTGTAGAGTAATATTTCACTTGGGTTGGCAAGGTCCTTGGGCCCATCCATCCATTTTACTCAGGGATGATGTGGAGCTACAATGTTTTCTGGAGCCCAGTCCTGCTGGATGTTTTTCCAGTTATCTATTCATCTAGCATGGAAGTCCTCTCTCAGCAGCATTTGGCTGTCCCGAGTCCACCCACGCAACCTTACAATGACAGCCCCTACCCATTTATCCTGCTCTGGATTGAACCAGGAATATTAGGATGTGATGAGGAAAAAAACACCACCAGGTCCCAATATGCTTGAAAACCCAATCGCTCCCATTCACTCCACTCACTCTTCCAACAAGGCTCTTCTGTGTGTGGCCACAGGATTAACCGCAGTGCTGCTGTGCAGAGGTCCACAGAACCGCAGTCCTGCTCGGGCAGCTGCTGCTTTTGTTGTTGTTGTTGKTTTTTTKTTGTTGTTGTTGTTTTATTGTTGTTTTTTTAATAGCCAAACTTGAAATAAATATAGTTGAGCCTCTCATTCTTGTTCCTTTCCCTAATTTTGGTGACAAAGCTACCACTTTTTCAAAAAACATTTATTAATGTTAAGACATTGCTGGCAACTCAGCCACCAGTCTCTGAGGAGTGGAAAGGCTGGATTTGAGATCCCGAAGAAGAGCAGGAGAAGCTAAAACGCAAGGCCAAGGCTGCCTAGCTGTGCCACACTGCTGATTTAGCCAAGGGGTCTGCACAGGTACCGCAGCAGGGCAGCAACACCAGTGCGTGCAGAGGGGGCAGCCCCGAAGGGGCCTCTCCGAGCAGCTGATGTCGCAGCGCGCCAGGACGCCTGGGGTTTCCAAGAGCCCCTTGGGGCCTTCGCTTGGACTTGGATCCCAAATGGACCTAAATGAGYTCTGGGGGAGGCACAGCCTTTTGCTTCTGTCTGTCTTGACGGGGCCAGCCTGAGCTATCCTCCCCAAACAGCCCTGAGGGTGCTTGGTAGCCAGCCAGAGAAGCGATCAAACACCTCATTGCCAACTGCCACGCTTCATCAGACAGCTGCCGACTCCATTACAGCCCTTGCTTCCTTCTGGAACTGAGTTAGTCCCTTTTGATGCCAATTTGATGCAATTTTGGTGCAAATCTTTGAGGCAATTCATCTCTATTAGCAATTTTGTGGTTAAGCTGAGTTTTCTTAATCCCCCATTTGTGAAAAGTCACGGGAATCTTCTCCAATCCACTTTCTCACTCCTTACTATGAGTTCATTCAATACRGGACATATGTATTACAGGTCTAGGCCTGGTACTTTTACTCGAGCATTTTGTAAGGGGCTTGAAAGATGCTTCTTTTAGCAAAGTAGGTGGTAATGAAACGGGGTTTTTGATGCATGTGACATTAAGCAAAAGGATACATTACGTTCTCCTTTCCAAGTACAGGAAAAACCCAGAGAGCTGCCAACTCGCCTTCCCTGCACCCAAGTGCACCCCTTTCGGTTACTTCCCTACCCTGCAGCCCTCATTCCTGGCCGGGGGATGCTGAAATCAGTGTGGCAGAGGCTCAGCGGCCAGGCTGGGCTCCGAGCTGCCGCGAGGGCTTTATCAGGCCGGCCTTGGCGCCGGCCTTGGCTGCAGCCGGGCAGGGGCTAGAGCAGCACCCTGCAGCGGCGGCTGCGCTGGGGCAGGGCCGTGACACCCACCCAGCCCCTGGGCACCTACTGCAGCGGCTCGCAAAGCCCCTCGGCTTCTGTGAGGGAAGGAAGCCTAAACGAGCAAGCAGCACCTTGCTACAGCCAGGACCAAGTACTGGCACTTTGAGCCTGCTCTTTTCCTGCCGTATCTGTACTCCTAAATGCTCCTAAAGAAGCCTCTGAAGAAGCCTTGACTGCCTAGGTATAAGCACACCACGACAATGTGCCCAAACCGAGCACAGCCAGCACTGCCAAATATGCTATGACGAGGCTTCRCTTACCAAAATTATGGGCTGCAGCATAATGAATCGTGACAGCTGGTGTGCTGGAAATAAGTATTTCCAAAGGAGAGAAAATCCTAACTCTGCACTACATGTTACCGGTAAAATAAAAGGATTTTACATTTCTTCAATTGATTACTAACAGCAAAGTCAACATCCTAACAAGGAATCAGCAAGAAAAGACTGTGGTTGTTTTCTAGAATAGCTCCATATATCTAATGTAACCACTGAAACCACTCTCCCATCTTGAGCAAAGATCTACAAA